TAAGAAATCGATTTATATCGAGATGAGTGCACAAATACAACAAGAATCGCAAGATTCATGGGGTAGCGAAGATGATGATGATGCAAAGTCATCGCTTTCGGTAGATAAATTATCGGTGAATGAATCCTCGAAAGAGGAGCAAGGTATGTATTGAATAACGCTGATTATGGTGGAAGCAAAAGATGTATGTTTATAGGAAAGGAAACCTTAATATCCGCATGGTCGCTATTCTTAGACGGAGGCATTATTCTCGAAGTTGGCGTTACACTGGACGAGTACTTTTTCGATTCCATCGTGCAAATATCATGTCCTCCGCATTATGATGACCAGTATTTACAATTTGAGCGTTGCGAATGGAAAGAAATATTCAATTTTAAAACTGAACACTTAATTAAACATATGGTGCAGTGTACGCCTAAAAGAAGGAGCAAGCATGAAATTTTTACCGAGTCCAAAATAATAATACTTGAAGCGGAAGAAGAAGAAGGTGTTAGATGTATTCGAATAAGCGAATCAGATAAATCTATACTATTTTCCAAGCAAGCAGTCGATATGATATTTAACGCTTCCGAAGTGATTACTCAAAAACTGAATGTCGTCAACCACTATGCAATGTATTGTCTTTATGATGACTTTACGCGTGAGGTATCAAAAATTCTACATACCGAAGGTGTTACTAGCGAAGAGAGCATTTTATCCAGAGCGAAAATCATATGTCAAAATCTCAAATTCTTAACATCGCTATGCAGTTGGAAGGAAAAGTATGATAATTTGCAAGACTTTACTCTTCTAACAGAAATTGTAAACATTCACCCTCGAAAATTTATAAATACGGTTGTTAGTAAAATTAGCATGTTAAAATAAATAATTTTATAGCGTAAAAAATGCTTTTTATTTATTCATACGTATCGATACACAACAACTTATTATCCACCTAATGCCGCATATACAATTCAATATGTTTATCAAACTTTAAAAGTTTAGCTAATACATTATATAATTGCTCCAATACGCCTTTATTAGCACAATGAATATTGAATAAGGATAGATCAATGTCGCCTGAGTGAATTACACGACCTGTATATTCACTATATTTATGAAATTTATTTCCGGTGATAAAGTATAGGTATCCATCCATGTATTTAAATATAGAAGTTATCTTAACCGGAATATCTGGAAAGGTTTCCGCATATATTAAGCGATTTTTAGGTCGATTACTACAATCATCCAAATCTAGCAGTTCATTTGTACCATGATAAATAAGCGTGCGTCCGGTATAGGTGTTAACTGCAGCATTCACTTTATGGCTGTTGGGAATTGTGAAGTGGCTATAAGGCTGAGGCCATCCTGGTAGCAGTTGCAGACTAGGGAATTGCACTATGTATATGCGACCGCCACTAAAGAAGACAACATCGCCGTTAGGCTTTTGATATACCGCTTCCAAACGTTTAAAAGATGCCGGAAGAAACGTTAACCACTCAAGCAGATTCTTGGCAGGTTCCACTTTGCTGCTGTTTAACGCCGATATGCAAACCCAATGTTCATAAAACATATAAAGTCGTTTGTTTAGAATCAAAAAGTGTTCGATTTGAATGGTACACAGGTCAGGTGGTTTAATGGTCTTGCGAGTAGTCTTGAGAGTAGGTGTAGTTGTCTTAATACGCGTTGAAAGATGATAAGTTTTATTCTCTGGTGAAGGGGTGGCAGCAGCAGCAGCATCAATAGAATATAGTGCTCGGATTCCGGCTATATCATCCTCATGTAGCGTGTTCATATTTGAATAATTGTAATAAGGAAACATGAGTGCATTTTCATCGCTCGAATGGTGTAATCCGAGAGTATGGGCCTATTTCATGTAATACAACTTGGAAATAACTAGAATAACCGGGAGGAGGTGCATTTGCATCTGCTACATGCCAGCGTTCTTCCCAATCTATATGCATTTCAACAACATTCTGATCTCTGGAGGGAAAGTATGCATGGGCTAATACATTGCCCAATCCATCAAACTCGAATGCACATTGCGGATATGGTGGTGAAGCGAACTCATGCTTTCGGGTATGAAATGATATTAATATGTCTGGGTTCCTTGAGCTATATTTGAATTTCAAATTTGTGTGGTTCGCCCAAACTTGAAATGCTTTATCCGTCATCTGTAAAATGTGCAGGTCATGCATATTGGAAATATAGTAAATCAAAGTCTGTTTTGTCCATTTATACCGATGAGTCATATACGCTGCTGGGTCATCAATATTTCCGCATCTAGGTCGAGACATGAGTTGTAATGTTTCGGCATTTAATCTGCCATCACTAGGTAGTTTATAGAGTTCTTGAAATTTCTTTAAAGCGTTAACGGTGATATTTGTACGATTATCTTGAGTTGATTCACCTTCACCAGGCTCCTTTATATATCCATATTTGGTGAGATGACTATATGCCATATCGATTTCACGCTCACTGATTGTATCGCTCTCGTCGACATTATCCGCAGCAGCAGCAGCATTAGCACTAATACAGAAAAACCAGCTCAGTACGACAACTGCAGCTTGCATGATTGTAAAATCTATACTGATTCAAAAGTTTCTTTTGGAGGACTAATAAGGATGTGGTAGTGGGGGGATATATATTGAAATGAATTAAAAATTAGGCTATAAATACTTAATCTTCTGTCAACGACAGAATGGTGCAGACTGTAATCGATGTACAAGGATTTAAAACATCAAGAAACGTATTTATACCAAAAGAACTGGCAATTTATAATGGCAAGCAGGTTGCTCATTTTATGTTCAAGCCTCCATTTCCGTGGAATAGCTTATCTACCGATTTACAACGTCAAGCTACCTGGCTAATTCATAACCATCACGGAATTAAATGGGAGCACGGTCATACGCCATCCTACATGTTTCCAATTATACTTCGCCAGTTAATATCATCATCAGACCAAATATACGTTAAAGGAAAAGAAAAAGCCGATTTCATTCGAAAAACTCTATGGCAAAATGTCACCGAGGTGGAAGAAGAACCAGCTCTACCTAAATTAGAAGCATGTTGCTACTATCATGTACGATCACTTTGTTGTTGCGCTTTATCTAACGTTTATTATATTTATAATACGCATGTAATTCAGTAATTTTTTTTTAATAAAACAACCAAATTCAATCATTTTTACTTTATTGCAATTGATACATCTTAATACGATTACATAATATGGGTTCCAAAACAGCTGCAATGCGTTCTATTTTACATTTGAAGCGGTACCTATCTAATGCGACAGTTTCCCACTGGCCCTTTCTTGCTTCTCTGTGAGCATAGGACCAAACTCGCAAGATATAAATTTTACTTTTTGATTCGTCAATGCTGACACTCTTCATTTATATAAAGTTTAATTACACTTTTACGTGAACTATAATTAAGTTTTGCGTACGATGCCAGTGAACGGCTCATACTCGATTAATGCATCATGTAAAATAACGCAGTAAGCGATAGTTTCATTTGCAAATGCAGATGATGCTTCAACTTCCAGCTTCAAATCGATCACCACGTTATGGACGCTCTCGTTTTGACGGGTGCAATTGATAATGAAGATAGGCTGCTTTTCGAACTCTTTGTAGCTAAGAAGGGAGCTCTCCTGTGACGAGTCGTAATATTGATTACGAAAGTTTAAATATTCTTCGTAAGCATCCACATACTTGTTATCGGTAAAGACCAGATTTTGCTGCTCATACGGATATCTTCGGTTGTTAATGTTTGCTTTTATATTGGAAATGCTTAAATGGTTAAACTCGCTCGCATCTGCTTCTTTGTTATTTCGCTTCCTAGTTTGGAACGCAATCAGTAGCCATTGAGGCCGTTGAAACCCGGTGCTGCTTTTTACCGACCAAACCAACGATCTGGTGGTGGGTAAGGTTGGGTATACGTAAAGGTCGCGCGCATGAAACGCCACTTGTATCGGTGATTCTTGTTAATCCTCCCGTAGATCGACAACTTCATAGCATCGTTCGGAATTACGTACGGAACTTTCCATGTTACCTTCGTAAGATTAATCTTAACTTCAGTCTCGCCTTTATAGCAATCACTATCGTCCTTGGAACGAATTAATATCAGCTCTTGACGTATGTTGACTAGAGGCTTCCTGTATCCTTCGGCAAACCCGAGTACATGCTTTAGAGGTATGGAAGCGCAGAAAGCCGTCTTAGTGCTATTTAGTATCTGAGGAGCCCCGGAAGGGCTCCAGCCTGCATGCGATAAGCATCTGCTTTGATCCGACGTGTATGAGCAAAACCCCTTGATGGTGCTGTTTATTCCGGGTAATCGAACAGTTTCTATCACCTGGTCGCCCAAAATAAATCTAATTTCGTCGAAGAGAAAGAGCGGCGCGTTGTTGGTGAAATCGTAAGCTTTATTTGCGGTAGTCGGATTCAGCGTTCCTTCTAAATATATAACGCTATCGTAGGTGGCCGTGATGAGATCCGCTTTCTGTATGACGAGATTGATCTCATCGGAGTTACCATAAGCGTTTGTCGTATAAGGATGGTATGTTCTGCGATCGGATTCGACGATCATGTCTTCATACTTTACGCCCGTGAATAGGTTTTTTAATGCTTCTTCCATCTTTTCTTAGTACTGTATAGCCGAGATATTGCAAAAACTGTACGTCGTCTTCGGTTAATGCGCCGTTAGCAATTGTTGCGTCGATGGCCGACGACGGATGACTAAATGAAGAACCTTGCTTACAGAAAATTTTAAGTCCCATATTTTTTCAGCTCCAATCGAATAGTTACTCTTTCTTCGCCGAAATCCACTAAATGACCGTCTTGATCGACTAACCTCAAGGTTATGTTATCTATTTGATGCGTGAGTACCGGTAAATATATAATCGTAGCCGGCTCCTTGATTAACTTATAGCCCGGCTCAACGTGTACGTCAAATTCAAAGATTGTATGAGATAGCGCACTGTTTCTGTATGCTCCACCCGTTAAATTACACTCGACGTGTATATTAGTAGCGTTGATTATTTGCACGTCCGGATCAGATTCATGGGTTCTACCTCCTTTATACAATTTAGGAGAGAAACCGAGCATGCGACCGATGGAGTTCGATTTCCTAAAGTCAATATCGTGTATGGTTTTCATTTCGCATTTTAGCGTATTATTATTAGGTCTCAACATAAAGTCCATCGAATTGGTTGGTTCGTTTATATGATGCTGTAGAATCCTGTTGATCTCTTCAATTTCATACGCGCCACTCGGAATGGTAATCTCTTTGAAGATGCTATCGGCCGCTGCATAGTAAAATTTGTTGTTTCCCTCAAATATATTGCGTATAGAATTACAGCCGTAAAAGCCAACCAACCCTAATCCATATTGATAATTATGGTCTAGTTCGATCGGCGGAAAATATGAGGTGCTGAGGACGTTGCCGGCACCTGTTAAGGTGAACGTTTGAGACATGACTGATGAAGTAAACAAACTCTAGGTTCAATTATTTATTATACAGAAAATTTAAACATAAATGTCCACATATCAGCGTATTATAATTTTGCTCCCTAGTATAATTGTATAATGATGTTGCATCCGGATAACTATTTAACTATTTCTATTGGTGGCGTCAAGTCGCCGAAGCTATCATAGTAAACTGCCTTCATGCCGCGTTTCTTGAAAGCAACCCAATGCGTACCTCTTCCTTTAGCATTATCCAGGTTTACGATAGCGCACTCGTTTAAATGAGGTTTTCGCGGTAATGTATCACGCATAAACACTCCTCTGAAGAAGGGTACGTCTTTAGCATACTTCACAAGATCCGAGTCCGTTAATGCTTTTCGCGGCAAATTTAAAAGTTTTTTGTCGGATATGGTTTTAAATACAAGGCGTATCCCGTTTTACGCGGTTGAAGATACAGCGAACTGCCTTGTTTGCCCAACGAGGCGGCCTCCATTGCCATGTTATGCCGTTTATTTTCCTCCAGCTGCTTCTTCGCGGCCGACGCATCGTTAATTGCTTTAGCTATACCGCTAGCTCCACCGGCCATTGCGCCCGCAGCCGAAAGACCGGCAAAGAGCGGTACTAGGAACGGAAGAAAACCTCCGACTTTAGGTATTGGTATCACTCGCGGCACTCTCACTCTTTGCTTACCGCCTGCAGCTTTAACCGCTCTCTTGGCGGCCAACAAACTTATTTTGATAAGTTTATTCAAGTTTTCCGATGATGATAGGCCTTTTATTGAATTTCGAATTGGCGTTAAAACTCCACCTCTAAACGAACAAGTCTTCTTCTTTTTCCCGCGCTTTGCGATACGTCGTGTTGCTCCCATGCCAAGCTTCCTTTTGGCCTTCATTGCTCCAGCTACGGCTAATGCTGCTGCTTTCTCTCCAAAACTAGCGTCCTTTGCCTTTACACGATCCCAAGCTCGAATTTGAAGTTCTTTATCGGCCCGATGACGATTCTCAACGTCTTTGAATTGATTGTATGCGATGTCGTGTTGCTTGCATGCAGCGTCCAACTGATTTATTCCTTGATCACCCCGAGCTAGACGCTGCTGTAGTTTGGTTCCCGGTCCGCAGTATTGATATCCGGGGATATGAAGTTCCACCGGCAATTTGTTTATCAAGCTGTTTATAAACCCCTTTCCTACTCGGCGATCGGCCATGAACTGATCAGTATAACTCAAACTATCGAGTAATAATGAAGTTTATGAAGCAACCTCAGCAATTGCATGTTGAGGATCATGATTTGTATACTGAATCGGAAGTGTCGGGGAAACACGGCTCATTATTTCCGGCTTCAATTAGAGCGGTCATCTGTGGACCATCGGGATCCGGAAAAACGAATGCGATGATAAGTTTATTAGAAGCAGCGAATGGTCTGAAGTTTGAAAATGTATATGTATACTCCAAGTCGTTAGAGCAGCCGAAGTATAAATATCTGGAACAAGTACTTAAACCCATTAAAGGCATTAAGTATAATGCTTATAGTGATAAGGATGACGTAATAACTCTAGAGGAGATTAGCAAAAATTCGATAATGATATTTGACGATGTTGCGTGTCTAAATCAAGATATAATTAGGGATTATTTCTGCAGAGGACGACATTCTGGTGTGGACTCGTTCTATCTTTGTCAGACATATTCCAAAATACCTAAGCAGTTAATACGCGATAATGTAAACGTTATTGTTCTATTTAAACAAGACTATATAAATTTAAAACATGTATATGATGAGCATGTTGGTAGTGACATGACCTTTGAGCAGTTTAAATTAATGGGTTCAAAGTGTTGGATGCATAAGCACGATTTCATGTGTATTGTAAAGGACTTTGATTATGGTCGATATCGACGAGGTTTTGATTGTTATATCGCACTTGGGCAACTTTGAACTACTGTTGAACAGCATCATTGAACCGGTGTGGGCAGCTTTGAACCGATGTTGGACCGCCTCTGAACCGCTTATGAACCGCTTTCGAACTGCTTTGAACCGGTTTGGACAGCTGTGAACCGATATTGGACCGCTATGAACCGCCTTTGGACCGCTTATGAACCGCTTTAGAACTGCTTTGAACCGGTTTTGGACAGCTGTGAACCGATATTGGACCGCTATGAACCGCCTTTGGACAGCCTCTGAACCGCTTATGAACCGCTTTCGAACTGTTTTCAACCGGTTTTGGACAGCTTTGAACCGATGTTGGACCGCTATTGAACAGCTTTTGATTGCTACGAACCGTTTTTGCGCCGATATGAACCGCCTTTGGACCGCTATTAGAAGCACTTTTCATCGATAATCAGTTTAGTTGATTGTATGCGGGCCGTTAAGATGAACGCGCAAGATCAGGCAATTAAAAGAAAATTAACTAAAACCCGTAGCGAAATAAAACGCAAGCTTGCGGCTCTTAAAAGAGGCGAAACCGAAACATTGCGATTAGTGGAAGAGACTTATAAGCCTATAGTTGACCCATTGAAGACGCTAGCTAAGCAGGAGTTGAAAAAACAAGCGTTAACGCCAAAAGTTGAAAATAAAATTGAATATGAATCAACTCCAATGCAAGAACAATTTGCAACGCCTCGACGCACCGAAAATACTGCAGTTCGTAAACGAATTAGTTTTCCGCCCGATATTAGCGAAATAGCGCTTGACGAAGAAGAAAACGATGAAGCGGAGGAAACTACTAGATCGATTAGCAACTTATCACAGCTACATGATGATCAGCAATTTTTAGACCAGTATCATCATTTACCTCGCCATTATATCGACCGGATGATTAAGGATGCAACGGGAGAGGTCGATCACGTTCACGGACTTCGATACGATTCCGAATTCAAAGAGTGGGCTATAGGAGATTCTATAGTGCAGTTTGAAGGGCCCGATATAAACATAAAAAATACACTTTATACCGGCACTCCTGGGCTATATGAATTGCTCGTGCTTAAAAAGCCGCATAATTACTCCTTCAAGGATAGTCAATCGTATAAAGATATTTTATTAGCTACTAACGCATACAAAAGGAACTACGATCCTAGACAACAAATCATGGGTACTAAGTCGCATAAATACGTTAATATCGTGAAGCCGCTACTATCGGAACATTTTGGAGCAGGTGTGAAGGAGGTTAATAATAAACAGAAGGAGTACGTGTACTGGAATACTCCCCACGAACTAGTCGAGCGTCTCAGACTGTTACACGCATCGCAAGCAGCCGGTCATACCGGACACAACAACGAGATTTTAAGCATTGAAGAGGAGCTCCGAGAAGAAGGTATAATCGCTTAGTCCGAAAATGAGCGTTGACAAATTCGGAAGACATTCGTCCTCGAGATCATATAACGAACAGAATACCTTGCAATTTACCGCCGGTAATGATTATGATATGCAAAACAAGAGAATATGTAATGTTGCCGATCCTGCTAAGGGTAGCGATGTTGCTACAAAACAATATGTGGATAATAGTACTCGGAACGCCGCAAGCCAACAATATGATATGCGTGGTAATCGGCTAACCCATCTAGCTGATCCGGTGAACGATGGCGATGCCGTAACAAATGGATACCTACACATGTTTGTAAAATCGTTTAAGTCAATCACCGATGGTCATATGAATGTCATGCATGAAATGGAGCGCAACTTGGATGAAATTCGCGAAAAACTAGGGATGAGTCCGGTGACAGACTTTGCCGCATTGACTATGCGTGAATCTCCGCCATTTATCGGTAGTGATTTGGAAGATGACGAAGCTCGGCGTCGTCGAGGAATTGCACAGATCGGCGAGAAAAAATTTTCCTCGAAAAAGAACGATAATCAAGCATCGTGATGACCTATGGCAAGCTGATTTGGCCGAATTCACGCGATATTCTAAAGATAATCGAGGTTATAAATATATATTAACCGTAATTGATTGCTACTCCAAATACCTATGGACGCGACCCTTAAAATCGAAGAATGCTAGTGAAGTGAGCAAAAACATGACCGCTATTATGTGCGAAGGAAGAGTGCCAGTCAATTTACAAACCGATCAAGGAAAAGAATTCTATAATAAGGATTTTGAAAAGTTAATGCTGAAACATACCATCAATCATTACTCTACGTATAGCGTAAAGAAAGCGGCCATAGTTGAAAGAGTGATAAAAACTTTCAAAAATGCATTATATAAGCGGTTCAGTCTTCGCGGAAGATATAAATGGATTGATGTGCTAGCGGAAGTGACTTTAGGCTATAATAATACGAGACATTCGACTATTAAGATGAAGCCTAAAGATGTAGCTGCAAAGACATACTTACCAATGTTCCATAATATAAAGATAATGGGACCAGCTAAATTCAAAATTGGTGACGTTGTACGAATATCCAAGTATAAATCGGTGTTTTCAAAAGGCTACACTCCGAACTTTTCTACCGAATTATTCAAGGTGGTTAAAGTAAAAGTTGGCAATCCCGTTACGTACTTATTGGAGGATTCATTTGGTAAACCAATAATGGGGCAATTCTACGCGGAAGAAATGCAGAAAACTGCTCATCCGGATATATTTCTTGTTGAGAAAGTGTTACGGCGTAAAGGAGACCTGCTCTACGTTCGATGGCTTGGCATGGATAAATCACATGACTCGTGGATTAAAAAATCAGATTTTGTATAACTTGTGTTTTATTATTATAAGTACACATGCTATTATATTTTACAATGAATAAATATGATTATGAACATACGCACTTGATTTCCTATCCTAATAAAGTAATTTACAAAGAATACATATGATTAATAGCTATTATACATTTAATTTCATGTCCTAATAAATACCTATAATTACAAACATACTCCCTAATTACTTATCCTAAGTCCATTTCAGCGGGAATACTATAATGTCCCCAAGGCAGCGTATCGATACCATTTGGCATCAAATACCTCTTATTATCGTTGTTACTAAGAGCAATTTTATGCTGCTCCATACTATATACATGATGATTTTTTGATATGATGCTGCTTTGGGTGACACTTTTAGTAATCCCGCTCCTTAAACATTCTAAATAATCATTGAAACTTAGTCTATTTTTTACAATATAATCTCTAATACCTTTTAATTTCATTACATCATTGTCGCTATCCATAGTTTTATAACTGTACATTTTAGATGCCAAAGCCACCCAATCGGTTATGATTCTACCGCCCAATTCATCCTTCATCATTCCTAGCACTTTTCCATTACATCTAGGGATATTATAGATGTTGTTTTCAGGATAATCAGACGTATCGAATCGTGAAATATTTGCACGTATCAATTCGTATGCATCATCACATACCATCTCGTACACGAGGCTATCGGTATCCATGTACAACAATTTCAAGCGGTCGTCGCTAAACTGATGCTGCATAAAGTTATAATGAAAATCGTACATTCTAGTTTTCGAAATTTCCAATATTGCCATCCCAACATATAGCGGTTTATTAAATAGAATTTCTGTTTTGGATAGCTCGATAGCCAATAATTCATCATCGAAGATCTCTCTGCTATGGAAATTGGGCTGGGATATATAATAATTGGCTCCGTATCTACCACTCCACCGGGTAACAAGCTTAATAATGCGATGGTTCCGCACATTCTCCATCGTTTTTCCGAAATTTGCATTATTTAATAATTTATATAGATTTTTTTCAAAAGCGTTAGTGGCTTGCGCTCGTAACCTTGCGTTCAAGTCTATATATGGTTTTAACCAGCAAGATTGTTTAAAGTTAATAGCCCGGTGAACTCTTTCAAGGATGAGACCTGCTTGAAGACATTGTTTTAAATTTCTATAGTGAATAACATATCTAGTTTTTGAATGCAAGGTTGCGAGCAATTTCTTATTTTTAGCGCCCGGTGGAGTGTCGTGTTCAACGCAGAAAGGAATGGATTTATGTTGATCGTGCAATTGCCTGGGATACAATAAATCCACCTCTAAAATGAGACCTTCGACCGCATCATCAGGTGTATTTAATATCGCTTCAGGAGTTAATGACTTTAATTTAGCCTCACTAAGCCACTTAAAATTATTTAAAGGTAAACACTGGCTTTGAGCCCACCCATACAAGTTAACCATATCCATATACATGATATGAGTAGGGGGTTTAGTAGGATCGTAATTCTTCCCATTCAGATATTTATTATTGGCCTTGCTGTATTTCGTACAGCATTGCGTTATGCCTCCCCTTATACCTTTTTCAACAAACAACATCATATCAACATCTGTGAGCAGCTCGAGTTTAACTTTGGTGTAATTCAGCATGCATTGCCACGTGTATCCGGGCGCTGTGAAAAAGAATGCTGGATCGAGTTTATGCGTTGTTATGCACTTTTCTCTAAAATTGGTGAATACATCTGCAAGTATAAGCACATCGCTCATCAGATAAAGATCGCTATATTGACCCAAGTTTTGAGTGTCAAATTTTCGCCAAACGTTTCTAGCATGCGAATATTCCTGATCTGAAATGTGCGACTGCCTCAACTTGCTGTAAAATTGTATCTTTTCCGGTAAATTGGTTTCATTAAATTTTTCCCAACTATCCATAATATATTCATACGGATACACGCCCTTTTTAGTTAAAAGTTTCAGCTGCTCATCATTTAAATGGCTTAACGTGCTACGCAAAATTTTGAAATCGTCAAACTTTAAATAGGACGCTAGATTATCTAATGATTCGCTCATGAAGCGATACGAATCTACGAATCTGAATTCGACATCTGCATTCTCCATTTTCTTAGTAAATGAAATGTAACGCTCCTTATTCTTAGGTCGAAACTGTCAAAGGATTTCCTCCAAGAGATCAAGTAAACATTAAATCTAAATTATTTCAAATGGTAAACGCCGTTGAGTTAAGATTGCTCTCGGACGACTTAAGTACAGGCGACCCACAAAGTTCGCGGTCTGCTCTCTCCCTACAAGACCCATCAGTTGTTTACTTCGACCCTCAAGCTCAATCCCGAAACAACGGAGCCATTTCTCGGGAAAAATCCTACCTGCCCAATTGCTATAATTCAGATTGTTATGGGGGTTATAGGGAAGGCCAGTGAACTATGAATATAAAAAAATTAATAAATGTACCGTAAAGTCACTGCGAGTCGTTCTTTAGCTCCACCAGCTCTTCTGAATGTTGTGTTTTTTCTAATTATTGCAGGTTGCAGCATATCAAGAAGAGCGTCAAATTTCTCATGGCTCATTCTAAAATACTGGAAAAACTTCACTTCATCTTCAAGTAGACCGGGAAATAACGAGTTAAATTCACTAAACCTTGGTCGTTTCTTGCATATATTATCTACCCATACGCTTCGTTTCGTTTTTAAATTTTCTCCTTCTGCTAATAAACTGCCAACAATGAGGACGTCTTCTTCACTGTCGCTCATTTTTCAAAAAAATACTAAGGAACCTGCACGTTACGGACGCCAAATGTCTAGTGGTACGACTCTTGTCGTGCGAAACTGAAAACCGGTGACGTATATATTTATTATATCAGCAAAATGCGGCTCCTGCGATTGATGCGGTTCGTTCGGCACGAATCAGTGGGCGCTTACCTTAAGATCGCTTTCTTGGTGCTAGTGTGCGCGAAAAGTCCGGAATCTTGCGATAGTGTCATCCTGGAAACCGCAGTTTGTTTCGAGGGAACTGTTACCACCAAGGCGTAGCGTCTTGTACGAGGTCATCATCTTCATCGCCATCAAAGAGGTAGGCCTAGAAATCCTACAATATATTTGTGAACGGGTTCGTGCGCACCACCTTGTCTGACTGAGTGACTCTATACTAACCTCGCGTCTGTGAATTTTGTTTTTCTGCCGTTCTTGTTCGTTTTTCGTAGGGTTGAGGGTGTCCTTATTTGTAAATTATATTGTAGCGTTAGGTATATGGCTAGTAATATATGTTAGTCGAATTAGAGTCGTTTTTAATTATTACTTATTAACCCACTGGTCCTGAGAGCAAGAGATATCCACTCGTGCAGAGCTAGTACTCCGGCGCATTACGGTAGGTACTTTACCGCCCAAACAATTAGATTCAATTAAAAAAGCGACACACCAATATTCAGGGTGTTGCAATTATTTATGGCCTCAGGATGATCCTCTTCTTCATTCAACCCAGTACGTTGATCTCGAGAAATAAGTACACGTATTTAATTGCAATTGCTACTCACAAAACATTGTTTTACACAAATATAAATAATAATATACGGGTTCCAAAGGGTAATACACATTTGAAATTTTGATAGTTATCTTCTGTTACTTCTGGTCTTGGCGTTTTGCAACCAACCGCACATGATTCCCTTAATCATCTGGTCATTCGTCTCTGCAAATAATTTGCGTACAGCCACTGCACAGAAATGAAATAATAAATTAACTGTTCATTATTTGTAAAGAATTGTTTGTAAAATTACAGATGGTGATTAGTGTTGTGTAGTGATCGTTTGAGTGCGCATGTGTGAAGATATTTAAGGGACACGTCACGCGAGGACAGTAGTGATCGAGCGGCACGGAGAGCGGTGCCGTCGCTTGTTTAGTTATAGTCGTAGTATTAATAATTACGTTTGAACAAAATATATTGTTTGCGTCGAGTTACTGTTGCAACAGTACTCGAGGGTGGGTGATAGTGCAAACGTGCGAATTGAGCAATTCTTTATTAACTAAATCCCACTAACTTTTCATCTCTTAATTGACTAACGGCAATATCTTTTAGACTTTGTCTCACGTCCAGATTTAACTTAAACACCTTGTCTAAAGGTTTGGGTGGTCTACTGCCCGTGTAACGTGAAAGCGCATCTGCTATCATATTTTCCGGTCCCGATAATTCGGAATAGTATTCTTGTAAAATAAGGGCGTAACGCGCGATCCGTGAAAACAGTAACCGACACGTTTTCAAATATACCACGGCGCTGTTATCCGTATACAGTACCAACGGTCGCCCAAGAAGGTAAATTCTAAATTTCTGAAGCGCCCACACCACAGCCAACGCTTCCCGTTCATTGATGCTATACCTACGTTCGCGTTCCATAAGCAACCGACTCGCCAAAGCCACCACCTTCCTTTCACCGTCTACCACTTGAAATAATTGAGCCCCTAGGCCGACATCGCTAGCATCCGTATTTAAATAATACGGCAGGTCTTCTCTAGGGTGGAACAACAGCGTTTTTTCTGCTAATTTTGCCTTAATCGTATCAAATGCGTAATTGGAAGAGACTGAGCAAATTAAATAAAAGGTTAAAGAAGAGCAAGAAAAGCGTAAAGCGTACACGGTTTGACCAAATTAGGGTTCCACAACATAGACTGAATACAACAACTAACAGTCCCCTTTGCATGCCCATTAAGATCTACAATTACCTACCAAAGACCATTAAACACTTACCTTATTACCCGTTTAAAAGAGCAATAAGGAGATACCTTGTAGAAAACCCATACTATAATTTAAATGAATTCTTTGCCAGGTCAACTCTGTAATTCCAGATTATTATTTCTAGTTTTTTACTTATTTGTTGATTTTTCAATTATGTGTATGACGAATGTATGTAATCTTCAAATTACTAGGACATAATAAAGATATTGATTGATTGATTGATTGTATACCCAAATCCAGAACCTGAATGGCTAGCAATGAACATACATGAACCAAGGGATTTGTCAAAAGCTACCAAAATTGGTATTCTACAGAATGGTGGACAGATAACATCACGCACTACAAGACACAGAAAAGGTGAAACGATAAGTTTGTCAAATACACAACATGTTTTTGTGACAGTCATCGTTTAACATCAGAAGACATTAATTGTACAAATAATATATTCAGTTTTTCATGCAAATTGTTAAAGAAAGGTATCGCTGCAGATATCTATCACGAGAGGGCAAATATATTGAAATCCTCCTTTCCATGTACCATACATGAAGCTCAAAAGGGTATTACAAGGGTCAATTGTGAAACCACATTAAGTAATATGCTTACAATACTTAAAGTTGTAAGCTATACAGAAATTGTATGTGAAGGTGATTTTCACGAGGAAAAACAATATACTCGAAATTTTAACAAATTCGCTCTGCTAAGAGAGGGCTTAGAGAATTTGAAAAATGCCATTGTACCTGCGAGCCAGGAGTACAACAACATGTGCGCAAAATGTAATACTGCTGTTAGGCGTACTCCATTATATTCTAATATCATTTCATCGACGTGGCGCAAATTGCGGACGAACCGGGGATGGAGGAAACATCAAATATTCCGCTCGATACGATACCGCTACCGGGAACTATGGGACACTTTGTGGCCTTTTGCAAGCGTTGCGACAGTTCTTGGGAAGTGTACGACGATCTCTCTAAAAAAATAAGTAATGTTTCAGCGTCATCAATAGTTCATACGTTTTTGTTAATTTACAGTATTTAAATTTATTATGTTATATGTTATATTTTTACTTTAATAACATTTCCATTGAATCTAGAGTCTAGACTTTTAATTCCATAATGCATGGTTATAAAAATGTAACAAAGTCATTGCGTTGTCCTCTCCCCTTTCCTCTCCAAAAGAGAAAAATGCAGCAATGGCATTATTACTACATTTTATGTAATAATGTCACTAGCATGTGCAAATTTTGAACTATTCATTAACATAACACAAAGTGTTATATTAGGAGCCCAAAATGGGCACAAAACTATAATAAAAGAAAATTTCGGAAACATCAATATTGACACTACAGCGTGAAGTTGGAGTGTCATCAGAAAAAGTCGAATAACTCATAAACCTTATGAGCACAAAATTTTAAATTAGCAGCACAGATTAGCACAAAATGAGCACAAAATTATAGTGACAGAATATTTTGAAAATATCGATGTTGACACTTCAGCGTGAAGTTGGAGTGTCATTAGAAAAAGTCGAATAACTTATTAACCTGATGAGCACAAAATTTTAAATTAGCAGCACAAATTAGCACAAAATTATAGCAAAAAAATGTTGAAAATATAGATGTTGACACTCCAGCGTGAAGTTGGAGTTTCATCAGAGAAAGTCTAATTACTCATTAATCTGATGAGCACAAAATGTTTAATTAGCAGCACAAAATTATAGTAAAAGAAAATTTTAAAAATAGCTATGTTGACACTCCAGCGTGAAGTTGGAGTGTCATCTGAAAAAGTTGAATTACTCATTAACCTGATGAGCACAAAATTTTAAATTAGAACAAAATTATGAGATACTTAATTCCTTTCAAGTCGACACTCTTAACTTCACGGACCCCGGAATCAAGGAGTTCGATAGGAGATATAAGACGAAGTACCGTGAATATGTAAACCGGCAGAGAAAAGTGAAACCATTTATCAAGTTCAACACAGTCGTGGCAAGGCAAACGAACCCTAAAAAATTATCTCCACCATATCATCCAACTGGAATGAAGGTCATCAGTTAGGACGGCTGTAAGGTAACACTCCAACATCCAGACGGTCATTTCCAGATCCGACACCCCGCGCACCTGAAGAAGATCTTTTCTGAGAAACGAGGAGATGTTGTGTAGTGATCGTTTGAGTGCGCATGTGTGGATTATTTGTGAAGCTATTCAAGGGACGCGTCACGCGAGGACAGTAGTGATCGAGCGGCACGGAGAGCGGTGCCGTCGCTCGTTTAGTTATATAGTCTATTTGCTTTTACTAGTCCGAGATCTAATTAACCCCTCTAATTGTAGCGTCATTCTTTGTTTTCTTCACGTCAATCTTCAATTATAGTCCATTGCATTAAGGTAA